GAGGAGGTATTGAATGAGGTACCCTGGGGCAAAGAGAATAATTAGCCCTGGGAAAACAGTGCTGCATTAGGTAAGAAGTTGGAAAGACTGAGAACTTTGGGATTAAGGGAATAATCTGGGGATGAAAAAAAAGATATCATTAACTCTTTTCTTAAATGGATTATATGTACTAAAACTTCAGAAATGTCATAAAATATATTGGGAAATGAAAACAGAAGACAACTTTACATAGATAAAGGTGCTTTACTCAAATTATGTCCAATTATCTTTTGTGGTGGTACAGCCTGTTCTATTTCAATTATTAACAATGTTTATCTAGGTGGTAGAATCAGCTTGATTTCAGGGTGGAATGGAAGTGTTATTGTGTATTATTACTACTGTAGTTAGTTAAAGTGTATCTAAATCCAAAAATTAAAATGTTGCATTTAATCAGTTCTTACATTTTTTTTTTTCTTTCAGTCTTTTTCATGCCAGGTAATCCTGCAATTAACACATTTCCTGCCCCTTTATGGTTACACTCATTTCCCCACTGTATCTACGCCATGGTTGTCACTGTTCAAACATGCCTGGTTTTGTTTATCTTTATTACATGGGGGTTGATTGTATTGTTACTGCAGTGCCTAACCCTAGAGGAGCCGCCAGTGAAGGTGGGTCCTCTGTTCTGCCACAACTCTCTTAACTGCTCAATTCCCACTGACACTGTATGACCGTTACTAAACCCAGGACCCTGCATTCACTACTGCCGTCTCCTACAGTACACACAGCATAGAAATGCAATTATTTTAGTAAAATATAAACTGCTAAACAGGGGCGGACTGACAACTCATGGGGCCCCCGGGCAATAGGGGATCATGGGGCCCCTGTGTCCTTGCCCAAACTCAAAAAAGCCTATGAAAAAGGTACCAGGGGCATCTCATGGGGCCCCCTACTGACCTCGGGCCCTCGGGCAGTGCCCAAATTTCCAAATGGTCAGTCCGCCCCCGCTGCTAAATAACTTTTCTCATCAGCGGTTAGAGCAGTCTTGTGACATCAGCAGAGCACTGGTTAAAGCTTGTAGGAGGAGTTTTCTTTCTGCTCTAGGAGGATGTGAAACCCTTGACCCTCTGTCTGGACAGTGCTGATTGGACCTGTGCTGATCACGTGCACTCTCCCAAGGGGGAAAAAAACTCTCTAGCATACACACCAAACTGAGCATGTGCATGTGACTACGGATTCAGTCTGTATCAGGTGGTCATTTCAACAACAGGAGGGGCAGAGAAGAAAGGATCAAAAAGCCTTTTTACATAATGCAGAGGATTAACCCCTTAGGTTCCACAGTGATTATAAAAAGCATGCTTTACTGCATACACAGACTGATTTTAATGTTGTGGGTTTAGTAACACTTTAATATGTTACTAAACCCATGACCCTGCATTCACTATATCAAGCACACAGAACATGGAAATGAAATTATATAGTAAGCATAAACTGCTACATACTTTTTCTGATCAGCAGTATATAGCAGTCTTGTTACTTCTATCAGTGTCCGGCCAAGCACTGGTCAATATTTTAGGAGGAGTTTTCATTATCCTCTGACTGTCCTATCAGGCTGCATGACCAATGACCCTCTGTCCGGACACCGCTGATTAGACCTGTGCTGATCACATGCATCCTCCCAAAAAAGAAAAACTCTCTAGCAATACACACCAAACAGAGCATGTTCAGACTTGCCACTGCTGCTCTGTATTATGGTAGATGAATTGGGGACAGTAAAAAAAGGGGAGGATCAGAGAAGACAGAATCAAACAGCCTTTTTACACAATGTGGAAAATTCTAATGCGCACTTATTCAAAATGCCAAAGCAGCGTGATAATGTCCACGTTATAGTAAATACTGCTAGTAAGAAGTAACAGCGGTGATAAGTCAATAAATTGAATGAAACAAATGGTGCTCGGTGCTCCATAATTTCAACTTGCTGGTGTAAGGATCTGGTACAATAATGCACTTACCAGAAGTACATACAATATAGGCATTATATGTATGTATGTATATGTATGTATAGCATATCCGTAGTCACATCTAGGTCTGGTCAGCGATTATGGCGGCATCCGGCACTAGGGTAGACACTCAGGGATGACACGACTCACACTCGGGGGTCACCTTAGGCTCACCGGTAGGTCCAACGCAGTCCAGACTCCTAATAGTACTCTCCGGAAGGCTCCACCTTGTAAGGCTCGCAAAAAACGAGCCGGGGGCAAGATAATACTAATACTGTAGTACGTTTTATTAATGTAGAAAAGATCCAAATAAACAATAGTGAACTATTAGTGAACTAATAGTGAATAGTGAACTGAATAGTGCGACCAGCACGTTTTCAAAGGGGGGACCCCCGAGTGTGAGTCGTATCATCCCTGAGTGTCTACCCTAGTGCCAGATGCTGACATAATCGCTGACCAGACCTAGATGTGACTACGGATATGCTATACATATAATGCCTATATTGTATGTACTTCTAGTAAGTGTATTATTGTACCAGATCCTTACACCAGCAAGTTGAAATTACGGAGCACCGAGCACCATTTGTTTCATTCAATTTATTGACTTATCACCGCTGTTACTTCTTACTAGCAGTATTTACTATAACGTGGGCATTATCATGCCGCTTTGGCATTTTGAATAAGTGTTCATTAGAATTTTAGAAGGCATACTGGTGTACTATTTACCTAGCGCTGCATATTTGTTTTATGACTTGTTACTGAGGTGTTGAGGATTGCCTTTTTATGCTAGCTGCTCTGTACTATACTATCAGGTTGCGCTCACCTTTTCATTTGATATATTGTTCCTCAAGTAGCATGTCCCACTCCACCTATCCACAACTGTACCAAACTCAAGCCGCACTCTGTGAATATCAATCATGTCACACAGTGAAAGTTTCGGCTTCAGCTACAGTCTCTGGCCTATCAGCCATATCCCTCTGACACGTTTCACCTGGACAGGGTTTAATCATAGAGACCTCTACTTTCACTCTCTGGCGTGGTTATTATTCATAGAGTGCAACCCAAGTCTGTTACTTTTTAGGCATTGTGTTTCTTATCCCTGATCCTGAGTGTACTGAATAGGACTAGAGGTTAAAATGTCAATAAATGCTTTTGTGTAGAGTATTGCCTCTACAATTATTGTATGTGTGTTCAATGCTTCTTTCCAAAATACTTGGACACTTGCTTTGGTTTTCTTCTGTGAGGAAGTAGGGGAACTTCCTAATTTTTCTCTAGCTAGCTGTCCCACGAAACCCTCTACAGTGGCTTGTGGGGTGGCTTCAGTGGAATGAATGACAGCAGCTTTTTCTTCCCAGCTAGTTGCCCCATGTGACAATCTTAGACTGCTTGCAGTCTGCAAACAGAGTGATTGACAGTGGGTCTTTCTCCCCAGTTAGCCCCCTTAGTTATTCTTTGGCTTGTGGAGTGGGGTTATTTCCAGCGGCTACTGCAAGGAGCCTCACTGTCAAATTCATAGCCAAGCAAAGCAGCAGTGTGCTTCAATGTGCTTTATTTACAAGTTTCACTGAAATTGAGTTGTATTTTCATTTTGGTTACTATAACCCCACAGGACTGCAATAGTACCAGCTGGCTCTCTGCAGTGACAACTGGAGGTAGCATCGCAGTCTTCCTTTTAGCTCCAGCCACTAATTGCAGAATGCGGTATTGAGTATGCTGGGGAACATCATGTGATCTTGGTATAATATAGCGCCAAAAAGTATTTTATCATATTTTAAAATGTGGTCTATAGACGTTTACTTGTTGTTATTTGCCTCTTATATTCTCAAACTGGTTAAAATTGGTTTACATACACTTTTTTTTTTTTTAATCAAGTTTTATTATGGTTTTCAACAGCATACTCTGTAGGAATCCACGGGTGATTTAAAAGAATGTTGTCATTATAAGAAAATGGCTATTGCAGAAAGTTTTTTCTTAATGCACACTATAGGGCCTTTCTTCATTATTTGGTTAATTTCTGACCTGGGACAAGCATGCACATATTAACCCTTGTGCAATTATCCCTCTGTCTGAACCCTTATCTATTAAACCCAACACTTAACCATCAACCTATGCCTTAACACCTGACCCTAAGGGCCCATTCAAATGCATTGCATTAAAGTTTTTTAGCTTGCTAGTGCGCATTGTACAATGAACAGACCAAAGAAGCACCAGGACAGAAATTTGATATGCACCATTTTTTTTTTTCAAATTAATGCAGCTCTGCAATCATTAACACATCACCAAATCTAAGCAGTGTCAGTACCTGAATTTGACATGGTGTTGGTCTCTCGCAATCTCTATACAGCAGGGCTGGAGTGTGAGAAGTAAAAGCAGTACATGGACCCAATCATGTGTTGACAAGAAGCATACTGATAGGAAAAAAAACAAAGACAAAGAGGTGAGGTCATGACTGTGTTTAACTGAATGCCACATGCTGGTGCAGGGTTAGTGTGACCAGATGTGTAAAACCACACTCAAGCCTATGTGTAGGAATACAATTTATCATAAACACAAGAACACAAGTAACATAATACATTAATGCAGCAACCTATGCCAGTGAACATGTGTGAAAAACTGGAAAACTAGCCATTAAACAGAGGAACAGAGTCAGGTGGGAGTACAAAGTGATAGTGAACAAGGCAGGTCAGGAATAGGGGCCAAAATGGGTAGCAAGTACAAACAGTGACAGGCCCAGAGTGTACAGGCACACAGATAAAATACTGAGGCACTGTGTAATTGTGTAGATGTGGTTAAATAGCTGGAAAACAACTAGTAGTAGACTTTGGAACTGCACCATTTAAGTTCAAGGACCACCAGCTGGTATCCTAGTTCCTGACAATGCCCCCCTTTAAGTAACAGCCTCAGAAATAGGTATAAACAAATGTGTCTGGGCAGGGGCGGACTGACCATTTGGAAACTCGGGCAGTGCCCGAGGACCCGGGATCAGTGGGGCCCCATGAGATGACCCTGGTACCTTTTTCATAGGCTTTTTTGAGTTTGGGCAAGGACACAGGGGCGCCATGATCCCCTATTGCCCGGAGGCCCCATGAGTTGTCAGTCCGCCCCTGCATCTAGGTTATGTTTATGGGGTATTCACTGAACCCATCATCAAGTCCAAAAATAACTACCTAAATTTGAACCCCACTAAAGACTATGGGGGGCAAATTTCGAAAATCAATTCTGTCCGTTTTCTCAAGGTTAACAAAAAAGAGATTGCCAAACAAGGCTGCACTGGTATAAAGAATATGGGGGATACAGAAATCCTTTTAAGTTTAAGCTTGAGAGATGCCTTTATTCTGTATGTGGTGTTATGAAACTATATGATTCTCACAAACAGCATCATTGAGACACCATATTCTGGCATCGCATATTTTGCATGAATAATATTTTGTTTTTACTTTTACATTATTGCTTAGGATAAATACAACAGCAGCATCACCAAAATCTGATTTATAACAACTTGAAAAAAAAAGTCTTTTTAAGGTAGTTTTGACTATGACATCTGATTTTTAATCCAGCAGTTACAGGTCTGAATTGAACAGAGAAAGTAAAAGTCACAACAAATCTAAAAGCTATAGGAAAGTGTACTCTTAAAAAAATAAAGCCCCCAACTCTGTACCAATTGGCCAGTGGCAAAACAGCTCATAGTATAGTCTTTTTTTCGCAGTACCACACTACATTGTCTTAAAATGTTATTAAAATGTCAAAATAGAGTGCATGAAAACACAAAACAGTTCAAAATAACAACCCATGTTCCCTGAACCCCCTCCCATTCTTACGTATTCTAATTACTTCCCTAAACATAGACCTCAGGTTTGGTAAACATTGTCTAGTTTCAGAACAGTACACAAGTATTTGAATAGAGAGCAATTTGAAAGAATTTAGAGTGTATCATTCCAGAGACAAAACCCACAAATATTAAATATTCCCTGGATAAGCTTCATTAGGATGCAATGTAAGAGGGAGAGACAAGGCAAGTTGTATCTTGAAACAAACATTATAATAATTACTGTGTATTATTTCAAAGAGACAATAATCACAAGTGAGTGGTAGTTTTACTATGACTGATATGTTGTAGGCAGACCTATAGCTGTACTGTCTGCAGGAAATTTGTGACAAAAGCTAAGACTACAAGCTATATAAAGCATCTCTGGGAATAGCAGTTGCCTGCACTTGCTTGGCAGTGATATCCAGTGAAAAAGGATGGTTTCTCCCTCCAGTTCTCTACCAGCTGCCCCTGTACAAAAACATCCATATCTCATATTCTGCCTGTAGGCAGGTGCAGTCTGTGCTCCCCACAGTAGGTGGCACTGTGGTAAAGTGGCAATACAGTAGTGGGAGTAGGTTTGTGGGGAACTTAGCTCATCTATGATTTCCTTGGGTCATCTATGAGCAACTGTTCGATTGGTTGGGGGTGCCCCGCATGACCCCCATGGCCATCTTAGGCAGGACAAAGCTTATTTAGGTCCCTGACCCCTATTTTGGTGCACATTGTGCAAATGGTTAGTGTGGAAAAAGAGTTCATCTGTTATGGATAGCACTATTGGCAGGGAAAGGTTCCAAAGGAATAGGGAATAGGGAAAGCGCAGGGACTATGCCATATCCAATAAGGAAGCTGTCACGATCGCATGGTCACCGCCACCAACATGCGACAATCGCACGACCGCGACTAACAGTAATGCGTCACGCCCGCGGCGTCAGACCCCAGACCTTCTCACCAAACTCGTGACCGAAGGACCGGCCGATCTAAAACCGCGGTATGCCGCGCGTAACAAGGCCACACCCAGCTGCACCCTGCACAGCGATTGTCCAGCTACAATCGGTGCCTGCAGCCTGAATGCGCTTGTTACTGGGTCGGGTTAATTACGCAACTAACCCTCTACTGCCACCACCGTCTTTTTTGTCAGAGAAGAAGGAAACTCTCGTTATCAGATATACACTATAATGATTGAAAAGTTGCCTGTCCAATGCGGACCCCGCAGGCCAATTGGGCAGAGAATTAAACAAACACAGTAGCATCTCTTCAAAAGGCAGGAATTCGTGAATTGCAAATAAGAGCTTAAAAACAGTTTAACACTTTCAGAAAGAAAGATTTATTACTAAAAGAGTCAAACAGGTGCAATAAAATATTTACAAAGAAATGTCACTAAAATATATATATATATATATGTATATAAAGATATAGCAAAGAGATAATAGAAAGGAAGTTAAAGGGTTAGGTTACTTGCCAGCATGCCTTGGTTTGTAGATCCAAGTGCAGAGCAGGAAGGTTCTTTGATCTCCTCGTTTGATGTTAAGCTTAGGAGATGTGTTTTTCTTCTACCCAGGCTTGCCAGCCTGTCTCTTTTTTAAAAATCCCTCTGCAAGGGGGGGTGGCTCTGAATACTGGCCATTACGCTGTTTTGGGAGGGGTCAGGAGAACTCTGAATTATGACATGAAACATAGGGGGGAAAAAAAAAAACCTGACTTGAGGAATGTTCATTTCATTCTGACATCTTTACTGTTAGGTTCTGTGAGGTTTCAACTTCTTTCAAGTCCAGGGAGAAGCTGCCTTATCTGTTTTATGATGGGTGAGCCTACACAAGGTCTGGGATCAGTGCTTCCCAATGCTCTGATGAGCTGACCTTATCATGATTTTAGGTGAGAAAGGTTACACTTTCGCAGACTGCCTGGCACCGGACTGAGGATGCCTTAACTTGGGTTGACCCCCCCATCTGTCAGGATATAACGTTTGCCTCTCAGGAAGGGAGGGGGTAGGGACTGTAGGACTGAGGAATACTTCCAATAAAAAGGAAAAGGGGAACTCCGCGTCCAACTCTGATGAGCAAGTTTGCTACAGAAGCCTCCAATTTGGGTTGGACCTGCCAGGCTACATTCCTTCTCCTTGTTGCAGAAGCTGACTGCATCATTAAAGCTATTAAATTTCTAATCCGGACGCAAGTTCTCACCTGCCAGGCCTGGCTGTACCTTGTTGGAACTTTTTCAATGCACAGTTCACATTACTCAACCTCTGTGTAATCTCTGACTCCAACGCACCACACTTCACTCTGCTTACATGCCTCTCCCCCTTTTCCTTCTTTCCAGTCTCTGGCAAAGAGAATCAGCAGTGGAGAACAGGCCAGCAGCAGCAAAATTAAAATTTATGCTCAAAATTACTAGAGACAGAAATCACAAGTAGGTGTTTTAGTTCAAGAATGAAGAGACTGCAGATGATGCAGTTAATGAAAACTGGCCAGGAGCAGGACAGTTTTAAATTACCATGCCCAGATGCAGGTGTGGATTCCTTTAATCCTTTTTTCCAACAATTCCCTGGGCTCCCAATATGTTTTTCTGTTTCCTGCCCTCAGGGGCTCAGATAAACCATGCCTGATGATGTAGAGATGGCTGGGCATGTGATCTGTTGACAGGTGACAGCAACTCATCCTTGGAACTGGCCCTGGGATTCCTCCAGCATCATACCTGGACTACAAGACCCAGCCTACCTCACTGTGAGAGAGATGCTACCCAGGTGCAAAGTGCAAGTCGCTGGTTTTGGTCTTTTAACTGAAGTAGTGATACCTCTCTAAATTGTGTTCCTATAGAGTAGAGACTGTTCTGTACTGCCATTTAGTGTCTTTAGTGTCTTTAGTCACTGTTCTTATGAGCTCTTGTCTGCACATCTTTTTAACATGGCTCTATACTGAATTCAAACTCTGCCTGTACTGACTTTGCTTGTATTGCTACTCTACTGTGCACCTATTTTGTGAAGTTCATCCTAAAACCATCTCTGATCATTTAGCCAATTCCACCTACCTGTCACACAATGTTTAGGTCCAAAGAGAAAAGAGAACTGGCAGGGTTTTTAATACAAAAATGATGAGACCACAGATGATGCAGCTGTAGAAAATAGGTCAGCAGCAGGACATTTTTAAACAGGGATGATAGGCCTATCTGGTATATGCCTAACTTTTATATTATATATGACAATAGGGGATGCATTGAATCTAAGTGATATAATGTGAGGTGTTTTAGATGCACACTTTTATTTCCACTTCAACAAAAAGCAGTTCCAGGAACAGGTGAATAATTGAATATTATGTTTTGAAAATGCCAAAATGTAAAAAAAAGGCCCTAACAACATAAAGTAAAAATACCACCCCTAAAATAAAAGCTCCCTTTTTTAAAAGGAAGCTTTGCAGCAAAAATGCAGTTTAACCTAAAAAAAAGCCCTATATTCATAAAATAAAAACCAATATGTCCCCTAAAAATGAACACCCCCAAATAGTGCTTGAAACAAAAGCTCACATTATTTTAAAAGGAAAGCCTTGCTGCAGAACAAAAACAGTATAACCTAATATAATGGCTCCACCACATAAAATAAAAAACAATATGCCTCAAAAATAAATAAAACACCCAAAAAACTGCCAAATGCCAAAATATTAATAAAAAAAATAAATAATATATAAATAAAAAATTATTAAAAAATAAAAAAAATGAAACAAAAGTTACTTTTGCCCTTTTGCATCATAGCAAATAAAAAAGAAAATTGCTATGGTTTGGACAGCATGCTAGTTGTGGCTGCTGACCTCAAATCAACCAAATCAAAAGAAGTAAATTAAAAAAATCAATTAAAAAAAGGCAGCAATCAGAACTAAATGACATTGAATCTCTCCCTATTCAGTGTGATAGCTTTTCGTATCCTTCTCTTTCCAATGCACTGATACTAGGGCTCCATTAATTTGCTGTGTGCACAATCTACACACAGGTTGGGATCACTGCATAACCATGATCATTCAGAGCCTAAACCTTATCCCTACTCAGGATGCTCCAACACATTTTGGCTAAAAAAAACTGTATTACTGTTTGGCACTCCTGTAGTTATAAAAATGCTAGTCTTTAGGAAGTTTTACACATAAAAAAATTAGTCCAAGTCTATGCAGCCAATGTAAAATTCCTATATCTGTAGCATATGGTATTGCTGGTAAATCTGGGGTCTGAAACCACTGAGGGTTCCCCACCTCCAGGGTCTGGCAACAGGCAAAGTGTTCTGCTACTGGAAACAGGTTAG